ACTGAGGTAAGGACTCACTCACTGACAAAAACTGCTGAAAAACTGGACAACAGTGTGGAAAAAAATAGGTTTGGATCAACACTTCACACCTTATCATATATCATGATAACCTCCAAAAGGATAAATGACTTCTTCAATAGGAAAGGTCACATTATAAAAAAATAGAGAAACAAGGAAGATATTATTTTTAATCCCAATACTAGATGTGAGAGTAATTATTCTGTTGTCAAAGATTAAGAGCCAGAATAGTATTCCTGCCAAGATAAAAAAGCCAATCCACTGTTTCAGCACAGGCATAAGTAGCAGGAATTTCTGTGAGCAGAACCAATATGTATGTCTGTATGTGTACACATAGACATATATGCATATAGTATATAAACACACATACAAAAATGTGTGTGTGTACACATACATATGTATATGTGTGTCTATGCATGTACATATATACATATATTTTTTTCATTTAGAGAAAAGAACTTTTAAATTTTTTTAGGTTATGTTTGAATGGCTCATCAAGACCACAAAGTACTACATTTCAATTTAATTCAATTTTAATTCATTAAATAAATTTAATAAATTGAATGGAAATTCAATTGATTACAATTCACCAAGCATTTATTAAGTACCTACAATGTACGAAGTAACTGTTCCAGGTGCTAGATATAGAAAAACAACTAAAGAGTTCCTAATGTCTCAGAAGCTACTTTTCACTGAGGATACACAACTGATTCCCTAAGTCATTTAAATTACTGTGATTCATATTGGAAATATTCTACATCTGTCTGTGAACACATTGCGTCTGCAGTGCTCCCCTCCCCCCAGGAGAAGGTAAGATCGAGGCTTCCCCTTTTCTATTTATATCCCTAGGACCTAGCACAACTGGCACATTACCAGGGTTTAATAAATGCTTATCAAATAAGTGATATATATATACACACACATATGTATGTATACATGTACACACACATATATTATAAATAAGAATTAAAAATTATTTGGGATGGGAGGGGACAGCACTAACAGCTGGAGGAATGAAGAAAGGCCTCTTGCAGGAGACAGAACTCAAGCTGAGCTTTGAAGGGAATTGAACTAGGGACTCCAAGAGCCAGAGGTGAGGAAGGAAGGCATCCTAGGAAGGGAAAATAAAACCCAAACTATGTAAAGACAGGGCAGGGGATGGAATATCATTAAAGGGAGCAGCAAACAGGCCAGTTTGTATGAAACATAGCACGCGAGAGAGCAGAATAGGAAATGTCTCACAGATAAGCAAGCTGGAGACAAGACGTAAGGGGCCAGTCAGAGGAGTTTGTATTTTATTCTAATGACAATAACAGGCAACTGATGTTTTTGAGCAGGGGAGAAAAAAATAGTTCCATTTTGAATCTTGTCAGTCTGAGCTAATAATAGGACATTTGGATTGAAATGTCCAGCAGGTAGCTGGTGCCAGGCAGGCAGGTGGTGATGTACATGTATCCCCAGCACCAACTACAATAACTTACTAGTCAGTGATTCATAGAGGCTTTTGGAATCGAGTTGATTTTAGTTTGAAGGACTTTCAGGACAAAGTTACCCAGCTGCATTTGGCTCCGTCCTTTAAAAAAAAAAAAGATCATCAGTATGGCCTTAGTAGCACACCTTTCTATTGCATCCTATGAGTCCTACCAGAAAATGTGAAAATAATTTTGAGAATAAAGGTGAACAATCAATGTTATGGGGAATACACATAATGAAGAACTCTAGAACTAATATTTTATTCTTAACTCTATCACTTCTTTTTTATTTTAATATTTCATTTGTTTTAATCTGCCAAAATCTACTCTCTCACCCTCCTACCCTTCCCTTACTCCTCCCTGCTGAGCGCCCAGGGTCTAAGCCACAATGCTGCTGCTGGCTTCTGGCTCTCAAACTTCCTTTTTTCCATATGTTCAAGGCCCTCCTCACCAGGATGTCATTGGCATGCAGGTCCCCTTTTCAGTCTACTCTGTATCTGTGACCTAGAACTGGACAGTGGGTGACAAAACTTCTGGTTCACCTCTGTCCTTGATGAAGTGTCATGGTGTAGGTCTGGTATGGGTCTGGGACCTCCTTTTGTCCTAATACAGTTTCTCCTTAGGCGCTGGAGTAATGTGTGCAAAGCAGCTTGTTCCTGGCATTGTCCGGCCCACCCCCACCCCCAGTGCCTGTAGTCTGTCTGTCTCCCTATGCTGAGCGGGGCTAGTCATATGATTCTCTGTGATTTTTTCAGGATTTCCCCTTTAGGATTCCATCTGGTGCGTTTCCTAGATCTCTTTGGAGTTTCACGGAAAGGAGCTCAGCTGTACTACCACTTCTTTCTCTGTGCAAGTCACTATATCTCTTGGGTATAATTTTGCCCTTTCTAAAAATGAGAATTAAGGTGACTGTTTCCTAATACACCTTACAAAGACGCTGTAAAAGTGAAGGCCAAAAGCAACCTTTCCTGATAAATAGGCAACAAGACAAGAGAAAGAAATTAAAGGTGTAATGGTAAACACCAAGGAGATAAAGCTGTCCCCGTTTGCTGATGACAAGGTGCTTTACTTAGACAATCCTAGGGAATCATCAAAGATACTAACTCAAAAAAAAAAAACAGCTTCAGGAATGCTGCAGGCTTAAAAATGAACCTATAAAAAAGCAACAACATTTCCTTATACTACTTTACAAAATATTTAAAACTGTCACTGAATTTCATTCTGTCAGTTCGCCAATCTGTGTGACTTCGAGCAAGTCACTCAACACCTTTTAGTCTCTGTCTCCCCATCTGTAAAATGAGGGGATTGAAGCTAATTGTCCCTAAAGGCCAGCTTTAAATCCTATGATCCAATAAAGTCTATGACTTGGAACTGACAGGTGATGAATAACCTAAGGGACACATTGTCATGCAAAGGCACTTTTAGTGAAAAAACAAAACAAAACAAAACCCATATTTTGGTTTTTTTTTTTTTGGTGAGGCAATTGAGGTTAAGTGACTTGCCCAGAGTCACACAGCTAGTGAGTGTTATGTGTCTGAGGACAGATTTAAACTCAGGTCCTCCTGACTCCAGGGCCAATGCTCTATCCACTGTGCCACCTAGCTGCCCCTCCCCCCCATATTTCTTTACAAAGTGCCTAAGTACCCCTAAGAGGGAGGTAGGTTTATTATAATCCCCATTTTTACAGTAAGGAAATTGTAGCTCAGAGATTAAGTGAATTGTCAAAAAGCTAGTCCATGTTTTTGGACTCTTGAGGCCAACATACTATGTTATGACACCACACTGATTCTCACATTTATTCTCAAATAGAACCCGACCATAGCACAGCATAAGTCCTAAACTTTAAGACCTAAAAACCCTTCTCAGAAGGAATAAGGCAGAAATACTTTAAAAGGCAAAAAGGGTTTTTATTCTTTTGAAACCTAAATATTATTTTTAAAAATTGAACATAACATTTTTTTCTTAAAATCTAATTTTGTAATTTAGTGTTGCTTAAAGTAAGCAGGTCATTTGTTGGGGTTTAGAGGGGTTTGACACACATATTTTGCTGTAATGGCTATTTGAACTGTTTGTATGATTGTAATAAGATTTAGATCTGGAAACGATTATAAAAGTGACTGTCTCACCTGTGCCTCCAAAAAGCATGTGCAGAGGCCACATGGTAAAACCATTTCAGCAGATGGGATAAATTAGGTTGAGAGTAACCGACAGGCCTGAAACCCCTTGGTGAGTTAGGGATGTCTAGGGGCAGCTAGGTGGCAAAGTAGATAGAGCTCCAGCCTTAGAGTCAGGAGGACCTGGGTTCACATCCAGCCTCGGACACTTAACACCTACTAGCTGTGCGACCCTGGGCAAGTCACTGAACCCCAATCGCCTCACCAAAAAGAAAAAAAAAGTTAGGGACGTCTACCATAAGCACATGAAGACTTCCCCTGCAAGAATGGGTGGATGAGAACAGTTTGTTCCAGTGGTTATGAAGGTGGCTGAAGCAGGAGCTGTGAAGTGCTTAGAGCTTGGTCAGACACTGAAGATGTCAAGGTTATCCATTTGTATCCAGGGGGCCATTGCCAGAAGTCCTGACTTTTGTCCTGCCACTGGACTTCAATGAGTCTGGAAGAGAGGGTGAGGCTAACAAGTTTGTGCGACTCTGCCTCACTTAAATCCACTTCACACACACATCAAGACATCACCCCATATCATTGGTCCTCTTCAAAGTGAAGGACAAGCTAACATCTATTACAGCACCTCCCCCATTCTCTTTACAACTGAGGAAACTGAGGCCCAAGAGATTACATAGGTAGCAAAGAGTCTGGAGTTGAAATCGGGTCATATGATTTCATCCATTCACCCATCTAGGGCCCCTTCCACTACACCACAGCTGCCTCTCATTGACATTTTTGTTAACAGCCAAGTCATAGTAATAAGTTCTTTTCAATACAGTCCATCCCTTTCTCAAGCAGACACATGGGAAAAGTACTCCGAAACAAAGTTAATTGGGAAAGCATTGGACTAAGCAGTTTGGTTAAGAGTTTGTGATGATAGCATCACTTGACACTGTATTCTGGTTGTGAAGCTTATTGAAAACTAAGTCTCATTCAGGAAGCTGTGGTGGGATGTGAAGGACACTGGATCTAAAGTCAGAAGCCATTGGTTCAAATTCTGGCTTGCTACTTACTACCTGGATGGTCCTGAGCAAATCATTTGGATGCCCTGTACCTAAATACCCTGATCTGTAAAATGGGGATAATGATACCTAAACTATCTGTTGCATGGGGCTACTGTAAGGACCAAAGCAGATAATGGATATAACACCTTGTAACACCTAAGGCACTAGAACAATATCAGATAATCATCATAATGAAAAGTTTCATCTTCAGTAACTAGCCTTGTGCCTTGATTAGTATTTATTTTTGTTGCCATTTCCCTGCTACTTTTTAGTTGTCAAACATCCCTGTTTTCAACAAGATTTAATTATGAAACAGCAAAACATAAAACACCTGAAAGTAAAAATATATTGGAAAATTTTTATTCATCATTCAACACAACATATATTAAAATTCTGTGCAAAACCACAATATAATGTTTTCAGTAGAAATAAACATCAATTAATACAACAGAATATCCACAGACTTTATAACAAAATGAAATAATTAGTAAATAAACACTGAATTCTGTACATGGTTAAAAACCCTACTTCATTCTAAATATATACATATGTGTGTTTATATTTAAACATTTCACTTTTTATCTAGTTCTAGTAGGGAAATACTAGGCCACTTCTGTGACATAAGGTAAGTATTTCACCGCATGGCTAGAGCTGTTATCTTTCGGTTGTGGGGCTGTCAGAAAAGAAAATATAATTAAATATTAACAAAGCTCTGAATTAGTCATATGGAGAGTCTAAAGTCCTTTTTTTTTAAAGGTAAGATTGTAAATTCTTTCATATTAGAAATACAAAAGTTTTTACCACTCATGAAAACAGTTACAGAACTAGCTATCAACTAGGATAACTTGATCAATCTGCATTTCATGAAGAGAGGATAATCTTAGCAAAAAGTCTGAAAAAAGGATATGACCAAAGCAAAAATAGGCCACCTCTGAAAACCCATGCTTTCTACTTGGGGCTGGTCCTTTGCCAAAAGCATTACCAACTGAATTACTGATACTGACTTAGAAAAATACTGTTAAATTAGGATTTCAGCCTTGTGTTGTAGTCTGACTATCCCCTAGTTTATCTAGATAAAATTGGATGGATTAGGGAGGGGGAGAAAGTGAAGGGGGAAATCTTCCTTTCTTTCCTCTTCTCCCTCTCTCACTTCTTCTTCTTTTTCTTTTCCTCTCTGCTTCTTACAAACCTATGTATCCACCTGCCAATTATTTGTGAGGAAGGCAAGGGTGAGGGCATGAAGCAAATGTAAGGAATGTAAAAACTGGTTTGAGGATGCAAGTTGGAACTAATATAATCAATTTTCAACTACTGGCACTAATAGAATTAGCATACATGTTGGATTTAAGAACCAATATCACCAACAAAAAAAAGTCTAGATAATTAAAACAACTTAGGTAAAGAACAACTCTGCCATCCAAATCTCCTATTATTTCTGCTTTTGGCTAAGTATGGGTCCACATCAGGAGAGTTAGCTGCAGGAATGTGATGGATAGAGTGAGACATCCTGGGAACAGAAGAAGAGTTGTCAAGTCATTGTGGGGAAACACAATAAATGGGGGAAAACTGGGACCTGAACATCTAGATGACTGGCATAAAAGTGGCAGGTTTCTCCTGGAAGGTCAGTAAAGAACAGACAATATGCATAATTTATGAGTAGATAAAACAGAAAACCATCTGAAAAAGGTTAAGAGGGAAGGGAATCTGTGAAATATAATCAAAAACTAGAGCTCTTAACTGAAAGCTAGAAAACTACTAAACTAAGAAATGGAGGAGAAAGGGACTGATTTACTAGTACATGAATCCACTTTCATTCAATTTTAACTGAATTGTACTCCAGAATTATAAGAAAGTCACAGCCAAATGGAAGTATACTTAAAAATTAAAGGTGTTTTTGAGGATTACCAGCACTGGATTGACCATAGTTTTTAAAAATACAAACAACAGTTCTTATGTTTCCTTCATTTAGATAGTTAGAGACTAAAATAAGGAAAACTGGACTTTGTGGATATCGTGCCTATTTTCAGTAAAGGTCAGTGATCTGATCTTTTTATCTTGTAGCTGAATAGTTGGGGAGTAGAGAGGGTGATATTCCTCTATTATTTTCACTCACCTTAGTCATCACAGAAACACCTAAGGTTTTAAAAACATGAGGTTAGACATCTATGAAGCTACCTAATCTATTGGGCTAGGAACAAGCTTTTGGCTTCTTTTGGTCTGAATAGGTCTTCTGAGATGTAGCTGTCCAATGCTTGCTACTTTATAACACCTAAAAATTTTACTTCCTGATCATTATCTCTGATCCTTTAATCTTAAAGAATAAATCTAATGAGATGATAAATAGACACCAAGTCAGCTGGCTACCGATCTGGGGTGCTTTAAAAAATATTTTTTTTCATCTGAACCTTTTTTTCCTCCTTCCATTTAAGTAAGAATATTTGACAAAAACTCAGTAATTTTTACAACAAAAAAATTTTAAATTTAAGAACTTTGACAAGGAGAAATATCTTGTTTAGTAAGTTCAATGGCTTAGTATAGTTGAATAACATCATCCCATTCAGCCACAGGCCAGACCCCATTGGGCTGCACATTAGGTGGGGAGCTCTTCCAGTCCCAGGTCTTCACAGGAATCATCCAGGTCTTGCCATAGTTGGCTTCAATGTAGTTGATAGTTTCACAGGGTACACGGACCTTTATTTCTACAAATTCAGCCCAACACAGTGTAAATTTAGGAAACAGGTACCTGTGACAAAACAGGGTTAAAGGAGGAAACATTAATTTTTCATATATTAAACTTCAAAAGTGGAAATCAAGTTTTTCCTGCCTGTATGTTAGTTTTTTAAATGGTTACTAGCTCAATCTACCAGTAAGAAAACCTAAATAATACTCAAGAATATTTACATCTCATGTAGACTGATTCATCTTTTCTTCCAATCTCAACTTAGGGAATTCTATAATTTAGAGCAAGTCTGATTCCCAAAGTTACCCATTTTGTTTATTCCCTCAAGTATCATGCCTAAGAGGCACCTCAAGAATTATATACTTTAGCACCGTCCTCTACCCCCAGTGCAGGGTCCATTTGCTTTTATCTTTGTATCTCTGATACCAAATCCAGCACTATGCCTTGCAAATCACTAGCACTTAATAAATATGTGCTGAATTGAATCTAATACTTGGATAAATGATATGTGCAGCTTCTAACTTTATAATTTCCCCCTAAATAGCTGTAGATGACCTTTAATACAGACCAGGCACTGTTCATTAAAGCTAAATTAACTACACCCATCCCTGGTGCAATTTCAGCAAACTACTTCATTGAAAGGGCAACTTTTAAAATTCTTGGAGCAAGTATATTTTTGAAAACTGCCACGGGCCATGTAAGTTTATATATCTAAAAAACTGCTTAAAAGCTACATTAAAAAAACTCAGTGTAAGGTTGTGACTTCCATATCAGTTTTTGAGAAATGTTTACCTTTAATTCAATGAAAGTGATTTTTATGAATGGTATTTGAGTAGCAATAGCACAAGGTTGTTCAGTTGTGTTTGACTCTTCATGACCCTATGGGCCATGCTGTCCATGGACTTTTTTTGGCAAAGATACTAGAGTGGTTTGCTATTTCCCTCTCTGGTAGATAAAAGCAAATAGAGGTTAAGTGACTTGCCCAGGGTCACACAGCTAATAAGTGTCCAAAGCCAAATTTGAACTCAGGTCTTCCTGACTCCAGGCCCAATGCTTTATCCACTGAGTCACTACCCAGCTGCACAAGGTTAGAAGGCTTTAAAACTATCGTGGATTTTTTCCTTTGGGCAACAGGAAAATAAAAAACAGGTGTCAAAATGTAATCATATCATAGAAATGAGATATAGTTAAGCATTTCAGCATCTCTGCCAAAGAAAAGTTGGCTCCTAGCCAGCACCTCTCCTGACTCAAACGAACATCACATCAAATATGGTAACAAAAGCATTGAAGTGTTCTCAAGAAAGCAGGGAGTACTCTTCCTTGTTGGTACACACAGCTAATGGACAAGCCCAGCTGGGGTCTGAGAACAAGAAACCACATCATACAACGGCCGCTCTGGAATAAGATACTGCATTGAGTCACCTTTTGCCACTCCCAGTTTTGCTCTGTGCACTCATATTAAAGGCATGGATCATTTTGCTTGTCAGGAGAACATCCACCTGTTCTGTCCCATCCCATCAAGCTGACACTACTAAGTTGAGATGAGGCAGAATCTAAGATTCCTTATTTTCTGTGATAGCCTCCAAAGCCTCATAAACAACTGAATCACAGACCCTGTACAGATGGAATAAATTCAGTCTCTTGAGAAATAAGGAATTTATAAACAAAAAAATTAAATGTCAATTTTTAAAGCTGATGAACAATTTCTGAAAATAACTAAAAGAAAATCCAGCTCAAGAGTTTATTCTTTACAAAAGTAAGTTTTTGATAGTCTGTTTCTCTCCAAAAATATTCAATGACATTCAGCAAATACAAAATCTGGTCTCCCTAGCAGAGACAGAAAGGCAAACTAATCATTAAAATGGAATAACTATTGTTACCTAAAAGGTCTGATCCAATTTAACTCAACAAGCATTTATTCAGCATCTACTATCCATGAGGCTCAGTGCTAAGTACTCTAGATGCAAATTTTAAAAAGTCCACCATAAAGGAGCTCACAGTCCATTGGGTAGATACAGCATGTATATTGGATAGGACTATATAAATGCCAATTTGAGGAAGGAGAGATCACTAACAACTAGGGGGATCTGGAAAGGCTTTCTGTAGGAGGTAGCACATGGTGTAGACCAGGGATGGGGAACCTGCCGCCACATGTGACCCTCTAGTCCTCAAGAGTGGCCCTCTGACTGAATCCAAACTTCAAAGAACAAATCCCCTTAAATGAAATGATTTGTTTTATGAAACTCAGTCAAAACGCCACACCCAAGAGATAATATGGAGACAAATTCAATAAAACTTGGTGTTTGATTGGATATGTGGGAAGAAAGTAGAGTTGAGGCTGTGAACCTGGATAAATGGAAGGACAGCAGATTCCCCAAAAGAAATAGGAAATTTTGAAAGAAGGGTGGGCTTATGGGGAAAGATAATGACTTCAGTTTTGGACATGTTGAGTTTGAGATGCCTATAGAATATCTTTGAAATGTCCAATGCATGGTTGGTGATTTTGGTTTTGAGCTCAGGAGAAAGACTAAGGGTAGATATTAAGATCTGAGATTTATGTGCATAGAGATAACTGAACTGATAGAAACTGGTGAGGAGGGAGAGAGGGAGAGAGAGAGGCAGTGAGAGAGAGAGAGAGTGGGAGTGAGAGAGAGTGGGAGTGAGAGAGAGGGGGAGATGGGGAGAGAGAAAGATGAGATGACAAAAGGGCCCAGGGTAGGGCCTTGAGGTAAACCCACAGTCAAGGGGCACGAGATGGACAGTGAATGATTCAGCAAAGCAGACTGAGGAGCAAGCAGACAGGTAAGAGAAGAACCAAGAGAAAGTAGCTTCACAAAAAATCCACAAAGAAGGCAATACTCAGGAGAAGTGGGTAAAAAATGTCAATTATTGCAAAGAAGTAAAGAAAGATGGAGAATGAAAAAAGGCTCCCGGATTTCGCGATTAAAAGATCACTGGTAACTTCAGAGACAGCAGTTGCAGCTGAGCAGTGAAGTAGGAAACAAGACTGCAGAGTTGAGAAGTGAGTGAAAAGTGGAGAGAAGACTGCTTTTTCAAGGACTTTGGCTTTGAAAGATAAAATAAATATAAGATGATAGCTTGAGGGGATGGTAAGAATCAAATGAGGGGTTTTTAAGGATGAAAGAGACCTGGGTTATATCTGCATGGAGCAGTGAACAAACCAGTCAATAGGAAAAGACTGAAATTAGAGCCATTCACTGCAGGACTGGGTGACAGGAGGGTAGGAAGGTGATATGGTCATATCTGCATTTGAGGAGGACTAATTTGACAGGTGAGTAGAGGATGGATTGAAGTGGGAAGAGACATGTAGCAGGGAGACCAACCAGCAAGCAAGATATTACAATAGTCAGCCCAGGAATGAGATATTGAGGAACAGCTATCCCTTCTTAAAATACCAATGCAACTATCCACATGGGGGAAAAATGGTGGATGAAGAATTCCTATCGTCAAGGTTATATTATACAGCTGTATGGACAACTGATATTTTATCAGCATCTTAGACGAGCAGACTGTACTGGATTGCCTTTGAGAAACTGTTCAGTGGTTTTAAACGATCTCAAACATCTCTCTGAAAGAAAAGCTTGCCTTTTTAAAAATGTCTATAGTACTCTGATGATGGCTGTGAGTCAAGGAATACCACAGTCTCTGAAGAATTAAAATATGGATCACCGAAAAGGTGATCAAGAGGAGCATGGTGGGAAAGAGTATTAGAAGGAGAAATTGCACAGGAGAAATAGCATAAAGGATATCATTAGAGATATGTATCCAAAACGTGAATCAATCAATTCAGATTTTGGCATTCCATTTTTTTCTCTTCTTTTTATATACTCTTCTTCTTTGGTGTCCTCATCTATTACCACAGCTTTAATGTCAAATCAATGAAAGACTCCAAAATCTCTATATATGTCTCTAGCCTCCAACTCCCTCCTGAGACTCCAGTCCTATATTTCCAATTGCCTATGAGAAGGGGAAGAACCATTGAGAACCCCCAAGAATGTGCCAGCCCATATAAAACTATGATGTCCACTACTACTCAAACTAATTATTTTTCTCCAAACACCCATCCCTATTACTGACTTTCCTAGTTTGGTTAATGGCCCCACCATTCTGTATTTTTTGTTTTGTTTTGTTTTTTGGCAAGGTAATCGGGGTTAAGTGACTTGCCCAGGGTCACACTGCTAGTGAGTATCATGTGTCTGAGGCCGGATTTGAACTCAGGGCCTCCTGATTCCAGAGCCAGTGCTCTATCCTCTGTGCCACCTAGCTGCCCCCAGTTTTTTTTTTTGATGGCCCCACCACTCTCCCAGCAACCCAGACTCTAAATCTCAGTCACTTTTACTCTTTCCTCTCCTTTATTTGCCAAAAAAAAATCAGTTGCCAAGTAGTGTTCATTCTACCTTCATATTAATATTTACGTTTGTTTACTTCTTTCCATTCCATTCACAATGTGACACTGTACCCATTACTTTTCATTGGAAGTATCACAACAGTCTTATAACTATTCTGCCAGTCTCTCCAATCTCTTTTTCCTCAAATCTATCCATCACTCTGTTGCCAGATTACTCTTCCCAATGCAAATACCTCCAATTGCTCCCTAAAGCCCTATTAAATAAAATCTGATCTCTTAACACTGACATTCAAGGCCCTTCACAATCTGGCCTCAATCTGTATTTGCAGCAATTTCTGTTACACTATACCTGCTAGTAAGTTTAAGATTTGACAACAAAAGTATAAAAAGGATAAATTTGGTTAACTGCAATTAAATCTGTCCCTCAGGAACTAGATCAAGTTTAGTTAGGAGATCCATGTTATAGTCCCAGATCTACCACTTTCTGGTCTCGGGTTTGGCTTCAGTTTCTTCCTCTACATGGAGTGATAATCATATCAATTTTATGCATTTCATAGGATTGCTGTGAAGACCAGACACAATAATGTGTGTGTACTTTGAAAAAAACATGTAAAAATGCAAGGGAGTTATTAATTCTTGGGAAAACCTTTCTTTTAGGAGAAACAAACTTCTTTATGCAACGTAGGGGTAGTTTCTGCATATAATAGTATGCACATGCAGTAAGTACATCATATGCATTCAAAGTTCTTTAATTGTGCATCAGCTTCATATGAGTAATTGAGAGACATAATGAAAAAGACCTAAGAAATGACCCACATGTTGTGTTGTAAAACACAAACATATAAACAAAGTGAGAAATATAGGACTGCTGCAGAAAAGTCAGTTTTAAAGGATACTTATTTAAGTAAATTACCAAAATTTGGTTTTTTTTCTAGCTTCACAGCTGGTAGTACTGAAAAAGAAAAAAAAGAGGGGGTCTCCTGAGAAAGCAAATCTTCAGAAAAAATCCAGCCCTGTAGTAATGGGGCATTGCAGGATCAAAAGAAAGACTTCACTGTCATATGACACACCAGTAAGAATGGGGTCACCTCACACAGTGTGGACTACCTATGGCTCTCTTAGGTGTCTACAGTGGGAAGTGGGGGGAGGGGAATGGAGGCCAAAACCTGTGGACCCTTGGGAGGACAGAAAGCTATTTTCTGCCTGAAACCAGCTGGACAAGGAAGCGCGGAAGGCATATCTGCAACGAGATATGGGACTTGGTGTGTAAGAGTTGACTTGGATGTTAGTGAGCATGTTCCTATTCTCTTTTTCTCTGACACACTGACTATGGGGCATGGTGAATTCCTGTATTAATAAAACATTTAGGCTTATTTGATTATAATAGGGAAAGAAGGTCTCCCTTCCCATACTAGTTTACTTGGGAAGAGAATATATGTGAACTCAAGTCATCAACAGGTGGCTATCAAGAAGATGGCTGATTCTTTTACCAGAACAGTCATACTACTGTTTCATCATCTTTCTTTGAACTATGAATTCACATAAACTATTAAAAAACATACAATTCATACTTAAATTTTTTCCCTGATTTGGCCTGAGTGCCTCCATTCCACATGTGATCAGTCTCTTCATAGAAGAAAAAAATATCAAGCTTCACATCATCTTTTCCAAGGAAAGATAGCTCCAAACTGTCTTCTACCTGTGAAGAAAACAGGAGATTTTTACTGGAAAAGGAATAAACAGAAAGCAATTATTCCAAGACTGTTCAGTGTTACATTCCCTCTTCAAAATGAATATTAAATACCAAATTCCAGCAACCCCCTTTGGCTAAATATGGATGCGAACAAAATAAAATACCACCCCCCATACATTTTCCTTAACAAAGTAAAATCATTAGCAAATAAACAATCATTTTAATAAAGTAACTTAAAACTTATGGTGTGCTCTAGCACACCACACATCCTACCCAATATCCTAAAAGGACTAAATATTTGATGCTTGGTTGACATTAAGTAACATGCTAGCTCTACAAAGTTAGTAACCTTTGATGTACAAAGTTACTAACTTCTAAGAAAAGGAATGAGTTTGGTTTGTCATGAAATATTCTTGAAGAAGCTACGTGGTCTTTCTGAGATCACTGGATCTGCTAAAGTTAACCCCACCCCCACCCCACCCACCTCTTACTGTGAGCTCTGAAATGCCTGCTCCATAGGCAACAAAACTTTTTTTTCATCTTAAATCTTTTCCTAGCTCCTTCCTCAAGACACAGCCTCCCTGGCCAATACTTTCCAGTACTAGCTGGGGTAGGGGAGTTGGAATATTCCTTGTTCCCCACTGCCACTTCCAGGTTCTCTAGCTACCACTATCACACTCAGTAACCTCTCCACCTTTGAAGTAAGCTCAATTCATATCTACCACCCAATCAAAATTCTGAAAAAAATTTAGGCCGCTCTCCAAGAGCTCTCCCTTCTCCCCTCCTCCACATCTCATACCTTATCAAGGTAAACCTCTCTACATACACAAATGATGCCATTCAATCATGTCTTCCGCAGCAGACTGTTCCCTCTATTAGCCCCACTCTCACTTACCTTCAATCTCTTGACTACTGGCTGCTTCCCTACTGCCTACAAGCATGCCCATGTCTTCCTATCCTCAAAAAAACCCAAACCACTCAATCTATCTATCCTCTCCACAACTCCCCTTTCCCTCTCATCTCATTATCTCTCCTCCTTTTTTGTGGCTAAACTCTTTGAGGTCATCTACAATAGGTGCCTCCATTTTTTTTCCTCTTTAATTCCTTAATTCTCTACAGTCTGGCTTCTGACCTCATCATTCAAACAAAACTGCTGTCTCCAAAGTTACTGTTAATTGCCAAATCTAATGGCCTTTTATCAATTCTCATCCTTCTTGACCTCTCTATAGCCTCTTCTTGATAGTCTCATCTATGTAGGTTTTCATGACACTATTCTCTCCTGGTTCTCCTCCTATCTGATGTTTCCTTTTCAGTCTTCTTTGATGGATCTTCTTCCAGGGGATGCCTGCTAACTGTGACTGTCCCACAAGGCTCCGTCCTGGGCCCTCTTCTCTTCTCCCTCTTACTCTGTGATCTCATCAGCTCTCATGGATTCAATAACCATTTCTATTTTGCTGATGATTGTCAAATCTACTTATCCAGCCTGAAACTTTCCGCCGATCTCCAGTTTCCCATTTCCAAGTGCCTATTGCACATCTCAAACTGGATTTCTGGCAGATATCTTAAACTCACTATGTCCCAAACTGAACTGTAAAACTTTCCTATTACTGTCAAGGGCACCACCATCCTCCCATTCAGGTTTGCAACTTAGGTGTCAACTTACTCTCTCCCACACAACCCCACCTTCTCCGTCCAATCTGTCACCAAGGCCTGTCAATTTTACCTTCATAATATCTCTTGGATACCCTCCCTTCTTTCCTCTGAAACTGCCACCCTGGTGCAAGTACTCATTATTCTCATGCCTGAACTATCCCATAGCCTACTCTTGATTGGTCTGCTTATCACAAGGCTCTCCCCTCTCCAGTGCATGCTCCACTCGGCTGTCAAGGTGATCTTTCTAAAGTTCAGGTCTTACCAGGTCACTCACCTACTCAATAAACTCTAGTGGCCCTCTATTATCTCCAGGATCAAAGAAAAAAATAAAGCCCTCTGTTTGGTGTTCCATTTCCCAACTTGGGGCATTTTTACTGGCCGTCCCCTCATGCCCTCTTCATCTCTTCCTCTTGACTTTCTTCAAATTCCAGCTAAAGTCTCACCTTCTATAGGAAGTCTTTCCCAAACTTCTTTAATTCTAGTGACATCCCTCTGTTGATAATTTTCAGCTTATTCTGTATATAGCTAATTTGTACATAGTAGTTTGCATACTGTCTCCCCCATTACACTAAGTTCATTGACAGCAGGGACTGTCTTTCACCTTTTTTTGTAGCCTCAGTGTTTGGCATAGTGCCTACCACATAGCAGGAGCTTAACAAAGGTTTACTGACTACATAAACACATGGTCTCTGCCTAAAAACAGTCATGAGGAACCTACACACCATAGGTCATTAAAAATCTATGTGAAATAAAAGGTGTGAGATGAAGTTTTGAAGTTTCATGACAAAAGAATTTTAAGAGACTTCTTCTTAAGAAACCCAGCCCTAAAAGTAACCATAGTAATTAAGAGGTTCCTTCGCTTTGATTTCCAAGATTTATTTTCATAGAACAACAGAATTTCAGGAAAGGGACCTTAGAGTTTATCCCAACTCACACCTTAAAACTAATCCCTTAAACAAAACTGCCAACAAGTAGTAATCCAGTCTTTGTTTTAAAATCTCCAGTAAGAAAAAACTGGCTACTTCATAAGGCATTTCATTCCATTTTTGGATTGCTCTAATTGGTAAGACATTTTTCTTTACATTGAACTTAAATTTGCCTCTTTGAAACTTCCATCCACTGACTTAATTCCATTCTCTTTACTTTTGAAACTTGGGACATTGGCCATTTCCCAGTTCTGGGAAGGTGACTAATAATAGCTCAGTAATCACATCTGACAGTTCTTTTAGTATCCTAGGGCATAGTTCATCTGAATTTTATAACGAACTCATTAAGGATTACTAGTTGCTTTCCTACTCTCTCCTCAGTCAGTCAGTTTTACTACAACTTAACATACTCATTCTCAAAAAGCACCTCACTATGAAAAATTATGCAATAAAAACTACAGAGTTCACTGGGAAAATGAGGTCAGGGAACAACACTCAAAAACTTCATCAGTGTTACTTTAAAAAAAAAGATAGGAACCAAATGAAAACAATAGCACAGTTCTATATATGTTAAATTGATAAGAGTACATAAATGCTATGATACTGTCAGCAATCTTGGGCTGCTTCTTGGCCTACAAAGCCTCCCCCCAGGTTGGGCTGGTCATAATTATAGGCCTGGGGAGAAGGGAGCATGGAAGAAGATGGGGAGGAAGATGCATAGATCAGCACTCTTTTGCTCACAGCTCCTACTGCACCAGAAGATGTACAATAAATATGACACTTTAACTTGAAAAACACCTTAAATTTGCTTGTGGAAGTAGGCATCAAAAGGGTTGCAAGCCTGCATTCTTGCTGTTTCTTGAGGAAGAAATCACAAATAAGCAAACTAAAATTCATGTTATGCTTAAAATTTTCCCTAACATACTAATTAAATTCACATTTTCAAAATAAGCATTATAATAAAATTGATCATATTTTCAATTATCAACTCCCCATTAACCATCTTTGTTCTGTGTTTTCTCATCCAGAGACCTTTCCTGATGCTATTCATCCAAGACCAAGCCATACTTCTGTATTCATCATCCATTACTTGCCTTGCTTCTATCTTTTGTGCATGTCTCTTAAAATCTAAGTTGGTTGGTGAGTTTCCTGTGTGTCCACCTTAATCACCAATCACTTTAGACAATGCCCCTTTTTCTTTCTCAACAGAATTAGGTTTTGTGGTTTGGTTTGTTTCTTTAGAATCTCAATTTTGGGAGGTTCCTATTCTTTCTGGTCTGACTTCCCCTACAGAATCTTGGTCCCGATGGAATCCTACCCACCCTCTTCTGAACCTTAAAATCTCTCCAAAAATCTAGGGTACATATAAGACTATTCTCAACTCTCTCTTCTTCATCACAAATTCTAGAATGGAGTGATCACTTCTACTCAAGGTTCCCATTATTTGTACCCTGATAACCAATTCCTCCTTTCTGGAGAAAATCAAGTCCAGAATAGAATTTCTTCTTGTTGATTTCATTTTTTGAAGGATGGTTGTATTAAATGAGGTAATATTTATAAATCACTCAATGCCATTCTGGTGGCATTGTTATTCAGTTTCTACCTCCACTGATCTTCCCCTTAAAGCTTTCCACTATGTTTCCCCACTTTTTTTGGGGGGGGTTTCCTAATATATCTTTTTGACATGAATATATAAAACGATGCCTTGCACCTCTTTTATCTGTCCTATTTCTTTTGACTAATATACTTCTAGAACCATTTTTCCATCATGAGCATCATCTTACCAAGTGTCAGTCATAATAACTCTCAGGTCAAATTTGTCTCAAGTTAGGATCTAGTTCATCTTGCTTGTTACCTATATTTCGTGCATTTGTATACTGATGTCTTAAGTTATAGGTTTTATTATTATCTCCTTTATTTGATTTTTGCCCACTGTCAAGTTCTGGGTGCCTCAATTATTCTTCTCATATTGTAGCTTCTCCATTTAAAGCCTTTTGTATTAGGTTTCAAAGTTTCCAGGAAAATATATCCTTAACCAGTCTTTATGAGGTGCATTCCAAACGTAAGACCCTGCCATTCATATTAAAATATATGGACAAAGGTCAAAAATTCAAATCCCATTCTCAGACAGTACCTTAATTAGCTCTTCTCATTTGAAATCTGTTGTTCATCCCTGGCCTCTGATACACTGCAATGATTAAAACACTGCTGAAGTTCCTGAGGTCTATGGTATCATATATAGGACTCTATAACCTTTAGCAATGCTTTGTAGGTTCCACTGGAAGTATCATTTGTTCCTAATTGAATCAGCAGATGTGCAGTCATCACTGTTTTGACAAGTCTTGGGAGGCTCTCTGCCTTATCTTGGAGACATGCCCTGGGAAAGCAACAAACCTCTTTATTCAGATCAAAACATGGCTGACTCATTACTCTTACAAAGAAGTCAACACTACTCATCTCTTCTTCCTATGATCCTATTGTATCTGATAACATCTATGTATGAACACCATCTCCTTGGATAAAAAGTAATTGCTTCCTCTTCAAAGCACCCAACCCCATGTCTTCAGAAAGAGCTTCATATTTGTTTCTGAGCACCCAGCCTTCAGTGGGCCTTCTTTCCTTCCATGTGTAACATTCTTCCTCTTTCCAATCGCTTGTCCTCTGCATCTTCAGATCATTTTTCTTCGTCAGTTTCAAACTGAAGCCTTTTGTCAGCCCTTAGTTCTTCTAGGTTTCTGAGGAATACTTTATTGCCCTAGATGACTCTGCAGGTGGTAAGGAATTCCTCAAGCACATTTACTTTCTTTTCTAGGAGACCGACCAATCTGCACTTTGAAATGTTTACATTTCTACTTTTAAATAACACACTTTCACTTCTTGGTGACAGAAGATGTATTTTACCTTGGCTTAATGACACAAGTGCATTGTGATGGAATATAAAGTGAAATGTGAAATGAGATACTGCCGGGATTTCTAATTAGATGGATATGTAACTGTTTCATTTGGGGTTTGATGACTTTCTTTTTGTAGGTAGCTTTGGTCTTTCTTCCTCTTGTTTCTCTTTCATCTCTTCTTCCCTGGTATCTCTCCACCTACCCCCCAAAACTAAAACCAGTCCTCTTGCTATTATCAATAGCTTCAATTTGCAACCTACACAGAGAATCAAAAGAGGGTAAAAAAAGTCCCTTCCTTCCATCTCCAGTAATCTTCCCTTCCTCAGCCTCTTCCTTCTCCCCTCCCCCAAGCTGATGAAAAACTTCCAACTGTAGGTTTGAAAGTTTAGCTCTAAGAACCATAAACAATTTCAGTTCTAGGACAGTGAACCTGTTGTTTATTTTATGAATGATATGCACTAAGCATTAATCTAACGTAAAAGAAAAAGTACTATTTATGACATCTATGCAACTTTACTAACTCCAATCTAAAGGAGTTCAAGATCCTTTTCATATTTTCATCTTTAATGGACAGGCAGGTTTTCCTGTTATTCTTTAAACAGAAAAGACAAGTCACAATTTTGCAAACCACAGAATTTCTGCTGAAGAAAGTGATAAATAACATAGCAAGTACATGTTTTTAGCCAGCTTTAAGTCCCCAAACATAAATTTATTTTTTGAAGCACCACCATCAAGAAATTAAAGAAATTGTTCATTGCTAACCTTTCCAAACTTGTGTTTTAGTGAAAATCCTACACTCTGAAAAGCTGTAATTATATCTGATGTGTAATCTTGTATAAAAATCCCCAAATCCACATCTTTGCTGTAAGGAATAATATTGCACTGCCGATACCAGCCTAACAAAAAGGGGGGAAAAAAAAGAGAAAAAAAATGTAAGCAGTTGATACAATATTAACCATTGTTCCTTACTAATTTTATAATACTTGGGTTCTATAACATTTAGTATCTTGGGGCACATTACTGTCATTAAAAAAAATTTTTTTAACCTATTACTCCAAGCCAAACAGGATATAATTGACCATGTATGTGTGTGGTATAGTTGTTGTTTTTTTTTAAATTAAATTTGGCCTAAACTCTCTAGAAAGGATGTTGCATTTAAATTTTTTAATAAATTTGCAAGTCTAAAAGTAAATACTACTACTAAAGTACTAATTTTAACAACATTATCAAAAAAGTTTCCCTGGGTTCCTTCAAGTCTCAGCTAAAATGTCACCTTCTTCAAGAAGCCTTTCATGATTCCCCCTCCCCCGCCACTCCCACTGCTAGTGCCTTTACTCTGTTGATTAATTCCAATTTATCCTGTATATATTTTGTTTATGTTGTATATTGTCAGACTGCAAGGTCCTTGAGGGAAGGGGAGGGGGTTGCTTTTAATTGTTATCTCCAGAGTTTAGCACAGTATCCGGCAAACAGGCACTTAATAAATGCTGGTTAACTTAGGAGTACTATACTGAATAGAAGAATAGTTCACTGACAGGTGAAGAAAACTACCCCTGGCTTCTTCTCAAAAATGATTCTGTAGTTTGACTCCTTTGTTCAACAAGTACCCTTTCCTAACTAAATTGTTTATAAAGTTTAGGAAGAATGCTGACAAGACCAAATGATACCTAGGGTAAAAAGAAAGGCAACACTGTCTTAAATTTTCAACATGGCCATTGAAAAAGATTTCTGAGTCTTCATCACTACATACATGGCTCTGTGTCAGTAGTCTTATACTGGCAAAAAAAAATCCCAACAAGCACTTATGTATGTATGTATTTATTTATTTTGGGGTGAGGGAATTGGGGTTAACTGACTTGCCCAGAGTCACACAGCTAGTGAGTGTTATGTGTGTGAGGTTGGATTTGGACTCAGGTCCTCCTGACTCCAGGGCCGGTGCTCTATCTACTGCACCACCTACCTGCCCCTCAACAAGCCTTTATAAGAAAAAAAGTTTTAAAAGGTTTACATTGTTAATATATTTTTTCCTAAGGATCTCTAAGCACTGGGCTCTGAAAATTTTATCAAGAACAAAAGCAAAAAGCACTTTTAAAAAAAATGCTGGGTTCAGTTCACAAAAGGGATTTATGTTGATAAGGCTGACACATTTTCCGAAAAGTCTCTAGCTGACTCTTTCCTATAATGTCAAGTTAAACTAAAGACCATTTTTCCTAGACTCACTGCCGTATACTCATCATAAGATCATACTCTCTCTCTCTTTGAAATTTAGGCTTGCTTGTAATTGCAAGGTTTTCTTGCCTGAGACACAGTGTACCTGATAATTTGGCCCTAAGCATAAAGTGTGCTAATCTATAGTGACTTGGTTTGTTGGTTAACTGCAGATAAGTCACTTTAATTCAGTGCAAGGAAATATTTACTTAGGAAAATGAAAACCAATTTAAGCCATGAATAAGTCCCTTGCATAGAAACAGGAGTTTATAAGTACTAAGTGCCTTTAGAATCTTAATTTAAAAACACTTGCTTCCAAATAAACTCTGACAGAGTGAAGACAAGGAACTGGTAATTCTTGGTTTATATGCCAAACAGTAGTACATATAAGCTTTTGGTCATTGTTCCTTTTCTACCGGCCATAGCATAGTATCATATAGAATTACAGTTTGGAAGAGATGTCAGAAATAATCTAATTTTTACTAAACACATGAGGAAAAACAGGCCCAGATATGTGACTACCCAAGGTAACACTAGTAAGCCAGGATTTGAACATAGGTCCAAATCTTGTACTACTTCTACTATGTCATGTTATGTTTAATTGCTTAATTGCCTGAAGTCAAGCAGACGCCCCTTCCCGAGTTCAAATCTGGCCTCAGACACTGGCTGTGTGATCTTGGGCAAGATACTTCACCCTGTTTGCCTCAGTTCCCTCATTTGTAAAATGAACTAGAGAAGGAAACGGCAAACCACTCCAGTATCTTTGCCAAGAAAACCCCAAATGGAGTCACAAAGAGTCAGATAAAACTGAACAACCTGCAATGTCAAAAAAAAATTATTGACAAGTATTTTTTAAAATACTAATTTTTAAACAATACTACAAAGTGAAGTAGAAATACAAGATTTATGCAGAATAGAGAAGTCTAAAGCTAAAGGGAAGTTTATAAATTTTCCTAAAAATTTTCAATGGGTTAGTGTATGTATGGGCAATGTTTTTAATACTACCGTGACATTAAAGATTAGGATGAAGAAGGAAAATAAGTAGGACACACACCACACTAACATCAGTTCTTTATGCATTCAAATGGAGGTGGGAACTGCCGGGAAGAAGGACAGAAAGGGTGGAACCACTGGGAGGTGACAAATACAGAAAGGAATGGGAATAATTCCTTGGATGCTCAGAGCAAGATCAACTTTGATGTCACAATCTGCCAATCTCAGACTAGGGTAAATAGAGATAGGTTTCAAAAAGTACAGTTTATTAGATAAGCACCTAACTATTTGACATTCAGATATGGATAACAGTTTTAAGGACTGCATAAGGTTCACTTTAAATTATGCCTTATTCTAGAAATGTAGAAAAATCCTGCTCTTGAAAGGGCAATGGATCTTTCTGCTGCTTCTAATTTCTGCATAGTCTGCTCTCATTCCACAAACTTTCCTGGCTCTCTGAAAAACTCCTCAGGCTTTCCTCTTTGGCTTTCTTCTCTAGTGCCTCCAGTACAGGGCTGGGCGTGGGAGTAACTATAACTAATAGATATAATTAGTTTTAAAATTCCAGTTCCTTTTCCTCAGACCAGAAATCCCAGGATGTGAGTTCATAGATTCATGAAATATTTTGACCTTGAAGGATTCCCTGAAGCTACTTTGCTTAAACATTTATTGAATGGTTTAATCTCTACCTTGTCTAATAGCTCACTGATTTTTAGTTGTTTCATATATTTAATTCTAACTTATGTTTACAACAAAATGGTCTCTGATGAAAATTCACTAAAATTAAAATTTTTGTGACTATCTTCAAGGAAGCAATAATAAAATGTTAACGAGAAGACTGCAATATTATCTAGGCACATGTGAATTTTTTACAAACTACTTATACTTTTCCTATAAACACAACTATGTTTCTCTTTGCTAGGGTATAAATTTTAATAATAATCTGGAAAAATATAAGCAGAAAGAATTATTCCATGGTACTCAATAAATTCTTTTTTCTCATGCTTAGAAACTGAATACTTCCAACATCTCTGAACTGCCCTAAAATTAATCTCAAAAAGCCATCTCTAGAATCAGAAGTTGAAAATCTATACATTTGGTATACCACCAATTTAAGCATGAGGTTTTTGACAGAAAAGAGCCAAATAAAAAATGTAAAGATTTTTACCGAGACAGGTTCCACTGCTGAGCCAAAACTGGACTCCCAAATCCTTTAATACAGCAGCTGCCAGGTGTAACAACATTTTTGCACTCTTCTGAAACAGCACTGCCTCCACAGAGATGTCATCATGGTACTTCTACAGATGAATAAATATTTAACTATTACTTTCATATTTAGAAAGAATATCACCTATCTTCTGTTTTTTCTTTACTTTATCATTAAAAAGAGAATATCATACTTTATTGGTTTAATAAAAAAAATGAGTGTGATGAGTAAAAGAAGGAAAGCAAGAAATTGGTTTATCTGATTTCTTCCTTGCTGACAAGAATGATATGAGGCAGCATAGAAGTACTAGGTATCTAGAGGTGATGAGATACTGAACACTCAAAGCAGGCATAGAAAGGTAAGGCAGGGAACTGTTCTACTTCTCAAATTTGCATAGGACCTCAGTGACTCAATTCTCTGGTTTAGATCGCGCAGCTTACAGCTACCATCAACATAGAAAAATGGAGCTCTTCTCAATAAACGATAGCAAGGTATCAATATAGGGCCAAAGCACTGAACAATGTGGCAATACTTCCTGAGGAGTCAGAGTTTCTCCAAATATTCTCTAGAATGCCCAGCTCCAGTCCTCACCACTCTAGAACCTTTTATGGAACATGGATTGGTAGATCTCTTTTAAAGGACAAACCCATTTCATCCTTCTGACACTAAGACACTTCTGCTTCCAAAGCACTTCACCTGGAACAGACACCTAGCCCTGGAACACAGAGCCAGAATCTGGGAAACCTCATCTATCATCCCTTAATAGTGTCAGCATGGTGATGAACTGAATTGAAATAAATTGGGACCGAGCATAAGTAATTCATTTTCTACCTGTAATTTTGCTGTGAAGTAGCTGTACAACCCAAGGCAAGTCACTTAACATTTTTTTCTTTCTTTTTTTAAAAATTAATTTATTTTTAGTTTTCAACATTTACTTATAAAATTTTGAGTTCCAAATTTTCTCCCCATTTCACCCCTACCCCAAGATGTCATGCATTCTGAATACCCCTTCTCCTAATCTGCCCTCCCTTCTATTACCCACTCCCCCTTCTCTTATCCCCTTCCCCTTCTATTTTTCTGTAGGGCAGGATAGATGTCTATACCTCGCTGCCTGTATATTTTATTTCCCAGTTGCATGTGAAAACAATTTTTAACACTTTGTTTTTAAAACTTTGGGTTGCATATTTTCTCCCTTCCTCTCTCCTCACTCACCTTCATTGAGAAGGCAAGCAACTTGATACAGGTTATGCATGTGTAGTCATGCAAAACACTTCCATAGTAGTCATGTTCTGAAAAATTAACTCTATTTCCCTTCCTCCCATCCTGCACCCCCATTTATTCTATTCTCTCTTTTAACCCTGTCCCTCCTCAGAAGTGTTTGCTTCTGATTACCCCTCCCCCAATTTGCCCTCCCTTCTATCATCCCCCCCTTATCCCTTTCCCCCCTATTTTCCTGTAGGGCAAAATAGATTTCCATACCTAATTGAGTGAGTATGTTATTCCCTCCTTAAGCCAAATCCATGAGAATAAGTTTCACTCATTCCCTCTTACCTTCCCCCACTTTCCTTCCACTGTAAAAGCTTTTTCTTGTCTGTTTTATGTGGGATAATTTACCCCACTCTACCTGTCCCTTTCTCCTTCTCCTGGTATAATCCTGTTTCACCCCTTAATTTTATTGTTTAGATATCACCCCTTCATATTCAACTCACCCTGTGCCCTCTATCTATCTATCTATACATACATTTAATTTTTTTCCCCTCCAACTACCCTAATACTGAGGAAGGTCTCATGAGTTACAAATATCATCTTTCCATTTAGGAATGTAAACAGTTCAACTTTAATAACTTCCTTATGATTTCTCTTTCCTGTTTACCTTTTTTCATGCGTTCTCTTCAGTTTTGTATTTGAAAGTCAAATTTTTATTCAGCTCTGATCTTTTCATCAAGAATGCCTGAAAGTCCTCTATTTCGCTGAATGTCCATTTTTTCCACTGAAGGATTATACTCAGTTTTGCTGGGTAGGTGATTCTTGGTTGTAATCCTATCTCCTTTCCCTCCAGAATATCATATTCCAAGCCCTCTGATCCCTTAATGTAGAAGGTACTAAATCTTGTGTTACCTTGATTGTGTTTCCACAGTACTTGAATTGTTTCTTTCTGGCTGCTTGCAATATTTTCTTCTTGACCTGGGAACTCTAGAAGTTGGCTACAATATTCCTAGGAGTTTTCCTTTGAGGATCTCTTTCAGGAGGAGATCAGTGGATTCTTTCCATTTCTATTTTACCCTCTGGTTCTAGAATATCAGGGCAGTTTTCCTTGATAATTTCTTGAAAGATGATGTCTAGGCTCCTTTTTTGATCATGGCTTTCAGGTAGTCCAATAATTTTTAACTGATCTCTCCTGGATCTATTTTCCAGGTTAGTTGTTTTTCCAAAGAGATATTTCACACTGTCTTCTATTTTTTCATTCTTTTGGTTTAGTTTTACAATTTCTTGATTTCTCATGAAGTCATTAGCTTCCAATTGCTCCATTCTAATTTTTAAGGAAGTATTTTCTTCAGGGAGCTTTTGGACTTGCTTTTCCATTTGGCCAATTCTGCTTTTTCAGGCATTCTTCTCCTCATTGGCTTTTTCAACCTCTTTTGCCATTTGGGTTAGTCTATTTTCTAAGGTGTTATTTTCTTCAGTATTTTGGGGGGTCTCCTTTAGCAAGCTGTTGACTTGTTACTCATGATTTTCTTGCATCACTCTCATTTCTCTTCCCAGTTTTCCCTCTACTTCTCTTGCTTCTCAAAATCCTTTTTGAGCTCTTCCATGGCCTGGGACTGATTCATATTTTTCTTGGAGGCTTTGGATGTAGTAGCTTTGACTTTGTTGTCTTCTTCTGGTTGTATGTATTGATCTTCTTTGTCATCAAAGCAAGATTCTATGGTCTGACTTTTTTTGTGCTGTTTACTCATGATCCCAGCCAACTACTTGAGTTTTAAACTCTTTGTTAAGGTAAGAGTCTGCTTCCAATGAGGAGAATGTACTGTCCCAAGCTTCAGGTGTTTGTGCAGCTGTTTTCAGAGATACTTCTAGGGACATGTAAATTTTCAGTTCTTCCAAGGTGGTATGATAAGGGGCAAGGTGTTTACTCCTTTCTTGGCCTGTGCTCTGGTCTATGAGTGACCACAAGCACTCTTTTCTGCTTTGGAACTGTGAGGAGAATCTCTTTTCCACCACCACCACAAGCTCCACCATGCCAGCTCTCCTTCTCACCTAGAACTTTGACCCGGATCCAAGCACGGGCAAAGCAAGAGAATCCTGCTTCACCAGCAAAGAGGTCACTGCCATCCCCCTCTGATCAGCAGCTTGATTCTTAATTAACTGTGGGCTGAGAGCTCCAGAAGCAGTCGCCACTCCAGGGCTGTGCCACGACTGGGGCTGGACCATGCTCTTCTCGCACCCAGGTCTGATGAACCTTTGTTACTGACCTTCTATAAATTGTATTTGGCGAGAAGTCTGGAAACCGAGACAGCTCCCTTTGATTCAATCCCAAGGACTGCTCCAGGCTCGCTGAGGCCCTGTCTTTGCCTGTGTGGCCCATGCTGAGCTGCGCTCCTCTCCCAGCCTGGTACAACAGACCTTTCCAATCAACCATCCAGGTTGTCTTGGGATGGAAATTTGTTTCACTCTGTCTTTCTGTGGGTTCTACTGCTTTAGAATTTGTTTAGAGCCATTTTTACAGGTACTTGGAGAGGTTTGTGGGAGAGCACAAGCAAGTCACTGCTTTTACTCCACCATCTTGGCTCCACCCCCCTTAACATTTTTTCACTCCAATTTCCTGTCTACATGCTGCACTGTACTACTATGAGTATAACATGAAATCACCAACTTCGCAAAGTTAAAAGTGCTAGGATCTGATCCAACCATTTGAGAGCAATTTGGAATTATGCCCCAAGAGTTATTAAATTGCTTATATACCCTTTGCTTATATACCCAGCAATATCACTATTAGATCTGTTTCCCAAGATGGTTAAGGAAAAAGGAAAAGAACCTATTATGTTCTAAAATATTCATATGCCAGAACTGCATCTAGAAGCAAGAGAGGGATTCTATAAAGAGGAAATGAGGAGGGAGAGCATGCCAGAAACAGAGGAAAACCATTGGAAAGGCACGTGCAAAAAGGAAAAAGCTATTTGGTTGGACCATTCCCCATAACTGGAAACGCACTGCCTCAGCTCTGCTTTTCAAAATACTTTTATTCCTTCAAGGCTCAAGTGAGGCTCTCTGAATCTTTTCCTGATCCCTCTCCTCTCGCCCCCCCCCGTTGTTAATGACCAAATAACCTTGAATTTACTTATCAGTCTTTGTATCCACAGCACAGTATCTTACACAGACTTTAATAAATGTTTGTTCAATCGAATGAGACCTCAGAAGTCATCTCCTCCAACTAGTTCCTGAAGCAGGAATCCCTGGAACAACATAACTGACAACTAATCATCCAACTTCCATATGGCGACCACTCAGTGAACTCATTACCCTCTTTCAACAGGAATATTTTTCCCTCATAATATAAACTCTCAGACACTCCTATATAAATATATGCCTACATCTAGGCTGAAATTCAACAACTTATAGAGCTAAATTAAATATTTTTTCAGTACCAGACTGGTGATTTCATTGGTATAGGGCACTCCTAGGGAGGGAACTCCTCTCTCTTCCAATAAAAACTGGCAGCTGTTCTGCAACTTAGGCTTTGGAACTAGTTGTCTGGGGCACTGAGAGGTTAAATGATTTTACTTGGTGTCACAAAGTCAAAATGTGTCAAAAGTGGGACTCAAACCCAGGATTTTCTGACTACGATGCTGGCTCTATACTAGGGCAGCCTCTTTACTAAGCTAATTATCAAGTTAAAAACATAAGTAAAACTAATTAGGATATGATTTATAATATGAATATAACTTTAATAAGGATATGAATATGACAGCCTGAAGAACGATGGACAGAGGTTTGCAATATTGTATAGGAGGTAGCAAAAAAAAAAAAACATTCCAAAGAAAAAGAGCAAAACAGCAAAATGGCTGACTGATGATGCTTTACAAATAGCTG